GGCAAACAATACTCACAGGTGGCAAACATACTTACAAGTGTTATTAAGATAATTTCTCGTGCTTCAGTCACAGACTCACAGTGATCAAAACTTCTTAGTTCTGGCTGGGTTACACCTCGGAATATCTGAGTGGCTCAGCTGAGTGCTTTGTTTTGATCACATTCATTCAGCGCACTTTATTTGAACTAGCATAATTTAGCTTGCTCACTTTGCCGCAATGTCGACAGAATAGTGCTAAGTTACAAAATCCAGAGGAACCTATGACTACTCCTCTCGGGAACAGAACAAAATGAGAACACATAATAATTTGCTAAGTGAAGTTTATACACTTACCTGAATGAAAATGCTTGTGTGGCAGGAGGGGCAATTTTTCTTGCGTCATTGTTGTCCGCTGCCATGGCTATAAAAACGGGAACATATGTGCTACCTGAAATGCGTCACTTGGTGGGCTGCTGCGTCGTTAACGCGCTTCCGTCACTTCCCGAAATCGGATGAGAGTACTGGAGACGCTGATTTGTTTGGAGAGTGCTTCTGTTTTGACTCTACGAGTGTTACTGCCGTGTCGTGTATTACCGTTCATACGCTGGAGAAGGTAGGGAGGATGCTTTAATTTCTCATTAACAATTTTAGTTATGTGATGTACGCATTCTGGAAACGTTGGTTGAATTGAGAACGTCGCTAACTCGCCCCTTTCTCAGCTGTGAGAACCTGACATAGTTGCTGGATTGCCGTTTTTCTGCATTGGCCTTTGCCGGAAAAGCTACGGTTTTGTTGGCTCTTGATAAAACATTAATCCCCTTGACGATCTGTAAGTATTTGTTTAGGCATGTATACATTGGGATGAGAGGGAATAAATCTGGCAGAGTAACAGTCTCTCTTTGTTCATAGGTTTGGTGACGGCCTGTAACTGCGTTTCAGTCGGGGTGCTCCGCAGTTGTTTACGGCTGCAGTGCTGTCCTGTTTCCAAATTTCCTCCTTTTGGCTGTTCATATTGTTTTTTTTGCTCTTTTCAATTCTAATTATATTTTTGTGATTCTTTCTAGCTTGTTTCTACTTGCTCTCTCTCCAGTTGCATAAGATTTGTTTTTGTGATTTTATATAATTAGTTTATATAGTTTGTATTTTCGTTTCTCTTTATTGATTTTCTTTTATATACTTTATATATTTGTATTTTGTTGGAGTGATTTATATAATTAGTTTATATAGTTCGTATTTTTGTTTCTCTTTATTGATTTTTCTTTTATATACTTCTATCTATCTATCTATCTATCTATCTATATA